AGTCTCGTCTTCTTTACAGACGTACCAGCGTCGGAAGGGCTCCCGAGAGCGTAGACCTCCGGATCAATTCACTCCTAGCAACTATTAGAAAATTTATGGACATTTTTTTTTCTTGACTTTTGTGTAATTAAATTCACACCTATTGGTATTTTTAATAAATTATTGTGCTTCAATTTTGTTTGTGGAATTGATATATTTTGGATGAATATTTGGTTGTTGAATATTTGGTTGTGGAATCGATTTCGACAAACAGGTGTTCTAGTTTATTTCTTTTGTAAAATTGCTGTTTATGTACAGTAAAACGTATTTTCATAATACGTTTTACTTTTTTTTTTTTTAAATTGAAAACGTATTGTCAGAATACGGTTTCCTAAACCGTATTCTGACAATACGTTTTCAATTAGAAAAAAAATTCACTCAATAATAAATTTTACATATTTTTCTATATAATTTATAGTATATAAAATTTATTTTAAAAAAAACGTATCTAAAATACGTTTTTGTATGTAAAACGGATTACGACAATACGTTTTTTATAAAACGTATTATTAAAATATGTTTTAATTTAATTTAATTTTCTTAATCACATTTTATATTAATGTAATTAAGTTAATCACGTTTAAAAATTTAATTCGTTATAAAACGTAATATGAGAATACGTTTTACTTTGTAAACGTATTCTCAGAATATCTTTTTTAATGTAAAACGTATTCTGAGAATACGTCTGTTTTATTTTGGTCGACCCCTTTTTTTTTATTTTTGTCCAGTTAATTTTTTTTTGATTTAAATCATAAATTCAATTTTTTCCATCCTGTACTATACGTGTTTTTGGGATTTTTAACCTAAAGTATTTTTTGTTGTAAAATGCAACCTGAACTACATATATACAATTATTTGCACGCTCGACTACTTTTTGACCGTCAGATCATCTGCAAAAAAGGACACGTGTATGGTCAAGATGTGGTCGAACGTGCAAATAGTAACTGTATATGTAGTTCAGGTTGCATTTTACAACAAAAAATACTTTAAGTTGAAAATCCCAAAAGAACGTATAGTACAGGTTAGAAAAAATTATTTACCCTTTGATTTAATGGTTAGATTGATCTAATACAAAACTATCTTGGTGAGAGCTTTGTGAGCTAAAAGACTATTTATTAACATCTCAATTCACCCTAATAATTAAAAATTATTTTTGTATTCACATAAAGAACTCAACTTATGTTTATCAGTGATCTATTCAACCTAAACATACTTATTTTTTCCTTTATTTATAAGTATTATCTAAAGCAAATTTTCAGTATTCTCCTAGTTGGAAGATATTATTCTCTCATTGAGAGAAACCCTATTCTCGAACTTTCTTCTTTGATGACTAAACATTTGGGTGCAAGCTCACAATATTCCCCTCAATTGGTAAGTTCTGAAATGGGAATGAAAGTTGGCCGAATTTTCAAAAAAGCAAAAAATGTAACTGTGGTGAAAGCAGGAGGCACAAAAGGGAGCTTTCTCAGACTCCTCGTAACTATTGATGTGAGGAAACCACTTCCAAGAGGTGTCCATATAAAGCTAAATAATCAACAGATAGTAGTAAATACTTTAGAGGAAATTGCACTCCCTACTTTTGCTTCCTTAATATATTATAAATTTACAACCAATAGTTAAATATTTATGTAATTACCTAACTAAGCATAAAATATTGCTAATATACCTAAAGTTATATTTTTGCAGTTATATCAGATAAGTAAGGAAGTTGTTACGGGCAAATTAAATCCTCAACATTAAAATCGCTGCACACGATTCATATTCTCATTCTGGCGATGGTCTCTCTCTCCTCTCTCATTTTTCTTTTCCTCTTCTTAAGCCATTTATTCTCCAACCGGCATTTGCCTAATTCTCCGACTGCGATCAATTGATCTACCAATTTGGCCTTTGTCATTCCAATCGATAACTTTCATCTACCAAGGCCCAAGAAAAGCACCAAATCAGATGGGATCTTGGAAGAATACCTTTTGGGATAAGTCTCCACAACCAAGAATCCACAGAAAAATGGGCACTCTGAAGAATCAATAACCATCATAATCTTCATTATTTCCTTTTTTTTTCTCTTAGCTTGCGCAAGATCTAAAAACCCCCATACACAGAATCAAAATTCAATTTTTCCCCTTCTTTTCCTATAAAACTACAAAAGCCTTCAAACACTGCAATTTTTTCTACTCAAATGATTCATATCAGATGCTCTGTTTTGCTGGGTCTGGGGCTTGTGTAATTCTAATTTTTTTTAGTGTTTTTTTTTAAACATGTTGCCCTTTTTTCGTTTTTTTTTCTTTAACCCGTGGCACAAGGCAATCGGCAGTATATCTTGTGTGTATATGTAGTATATGTTCAGTGTATGTGCAGTATATGTTTTGGATGAAAAACTTCTCAGAAACATAATCGCAATATATACTTCTCAGTGTATGTGTGTATATAGAGTATATGTATAGTATATGTTTTGTATATTTAGAATATTTTTTTTATATAAGGAATATAAGTAATCTGTGTATATAGAGTATATGTATAGTATATATTTTGTATATTTAGAATATTTCTTTTATATAAGGAATATAAGTAATCTGTAATAATACGTTTTTTTTTTTCATTTCAACATATATTGAATATATACTAACATAAACGCAATATATACCGAATGCGTGAATTACAGAATTCCGGTTGTGCACATATACTGAATATATACTAACATAAACTCAATATATCTACATCAGAAACATAAACGGCTGCGTGAATTACAGAATTCCAGTTGCCACATATACTGAATATATACTAACATAAACTCAATATATACTACTTAAGAGTTCTATTAAATAACCAGCGTGAATTAAGGGGATAAGCGTGAATTAAGGAGATAAAAAGGATATGGTAGCTTTAGACATTAATGAAAATAAATAATGTCTTTTAGGTAGAGACATAATTATTTCTATTTGTATGGTAAAAATGTAATTAATTTAAAATCAAGTAGCAGAAATAAAAATTTCCCCAATTTATTTAGTTTGTTTTTCCACAACCCAAGAGATTTTATATGATACGAACCACTCATAAGCCTAAAATAATTTACAAAAAATCACATTTCAAATCCAACGCTCAATTCAGAGTCATTTTTTATTTATTTTTCCTTGACGAAACGATAGATTGAGTAATTCAGGGATAATTGCAAAAGAAATACGACTCAACTCGATTATTAAAATCAAAATAAGATTTTTCTAAAAAAAAAAATAAATTGTTTAGTTCGTTAAAACTTGACCTCATCTTGTTTACTTGCATAAATGAACGGAATTAAACCTTGTTTATCAGCTTGTGTATATCTATATCTAAATAAGAAATATTTTATTTATTTAAAATAGTATGGTTTTCTTGCCAAAAGATAATTAGTTACTAAATAACTAAAAAAAAAAAGAAGACAATATTTTTATTTTTATTTTTTCTTATTTCCTTTTGGCAAATTATTCTATCCTACTTATGGTCAACTTTTGTTTATATTTTAGGCAATGTTGTACCAATAAATGCTCTAAATCTATAATTAAACTTTTAAAAAATCAATCAGTTATTCATGTATAATTTATTTTTATTTTTAGTGATATGATAACAATAATCAAATATTCCATTTAATCAACTATCACTTGAATGAGTGATAAATAATGGATACTGAAATGTCAAATTCCAATAATTAAATCGCTAATATCTGCTGGTGTTAGGTATAGAAATTAGATGTTTTTCAACGTGCAAAAAATAAAACACAACTTCCTCAAACCAGCAGCAGATTGCCAACGAAATTGCCATGGCATTTTAAGTGATTGATATCCACTTTTCGATGTGTACATGTGTAGTTTTTGTTCCTTGTACGGAATTATTAAGGTAGCAGTTGTGTGTGTTTCTTCAAGTACTGCCAAGTGCCAATCAAACAATCTCGTTTATGTTCCTATTATTACGCAACAATAATCTGACATCTCATTGTCAAGAAAAACTTCCCCACGAGTTATAGTGGTTAAGACAACACATGTTAAGGCTAGTGATGGAGATAAGAATGTTTAGAATCTTTAATTATTATTATTATTATTATTATTATTGGTATTATAGATTTGTTAGGAAATTTATTATTTATCACTTTGTTAGAATTCTTGTCTTGTTAGACAAGTTAGTATTGTTAGGATTCTTGTCTTGTTGGACAAGTTAGTATTAGGGTTGTAGGAGCCTTATTTAAGAGACTCATCATCTATTGTTTTATGCAGTTGATTTGAATAAAAATATGAATTGATTGTGAGTTTTATCGAGAGAGTATCTCGTTTTACGTGTTTTACGAGAGAGTATCTCGTTTACTCATTATCCTTCCTATTCGTACCATTTCCCTACATCAGCTAGATTTACCATACAATTAAGTTGCAATTGTCGAATTTTTCACCGTTAAATCAACATACAGTGCCTGTGTGTGCATTGATAATCCACCAAGTGAAAACCCCAATAACTGCAAGGTCAAACCAAGCCATGTCGCTATCAACCAAATTTTAATTATTTGTAGGATTGAATTAACCCATGTCAAGAAAGCCCTGTAAAAGAGACGAGAGCTTGTTAAGTAAACGAACCAAAATTAAGTTATAACTCACCTTGTTTATCAATATCAATGAGCCATCTGATCTTGAGCTTTAACAAGTTGAACTATAAAAAATTATATAAAAATTATCTTTTCTAGCCTTATCGAGCTGAGGTGAGCGGCTCGTTTCGTTTAACAACTCTAAGCCATGACAACCAAATTTCATCTAATCACAGTAAAAACAAATTTACAAAAACGTAAAATAAATGTAAACATGGTATCCGTGTAGAATAATTTATCATCTTGTACAGTACACAATAACACCCATCTACATTACCTTCCACAGAACCAGGGGACACCAACATATATATATTTTTTCTCCTTTACCCAAACTGCTAAACGAATAAAGAATCAGTCTAAATCAATGAAACCCCACCAAACTAGACTTCCCCACTATTAGCAAAAACTTAGCTGGGAACAAAAGCATCACAAGCAAATGCATGTGCTGCGACGCAACTAACCGACTAAACTGCCTCAGTGACTTCCGACCATTCTGCATGATGCCCGAGAAGTTTATCGGGCCTTGTCCCACACTGCTGCCCGACAAAACGGGCCTGCTAAAGACAATACCCGCACTGGCCCCACGCGGGCCCACCAGAGGCCACCAGGCCTTGCGGCGCCTCTCTCTTTGGACTTTCCGGACCCGGCCCAGTTCCTCGCGGATGATATTCCTTACAGATTTAAGATACGAGTTCATATCGTGGTCCCTTTGAATGCTGCCTCCCGACCCGTAAGCCGATCGGTCGCTCAGTATTTCAAGAGGATGTGGCGAGTTAAGAAACACGGATTGGGCAGATCGGATTTGCTTTTCGGCCTCAGTGATGTCCGATTCCTGACAGGTCAACAGATAGAGACCGCTGCCCGAAGGAAGAAGATCATGGCTCGGAGAAAACTTTTTGTCCGGTTGGAGGATTAGTAACTCCCCCATTGGAGCATATAACAACTTCTGGTTGGAGAAAAAATTGTAAGCACATGTTTTAGCCAAAATGTCTAAATGGTAATAGTTTGATCAATATTGGTTATTTATAGAAACTAACCTCTGATGTTTAGCCCATCTAACAAACCAAAGAAAAGAACAAACGACAGCTATTTGCTATGTTTGGTAAACAAAATAAATTAGCTTATAAGCTTTTTGTATTCAAATAAGATTCTTTTGGTAGGACGAACTTTTTTAAAAAGCTCGAGTTTATCTCATATGTTTCTTTTTGGGTAGCTTTTCAAATAAGCTCGTTAAAATTTTTATTTCAGCTAGCTTATCAACTAATTTTACTGAACACGTTTATCATATAAGTTAGTTTATCAACTACAAGTAATAAATTATAAGATCGATAATCACTACAAGCTATAAACTAGTTTATCAGCTAATTTTACCAAATATTGCCTTATTATACAAATTGCACATCGTGCAAAAAGCTATGTGCAGGTAAATACATAAGAGGGTGTTCGTGACACTTTAAAGGGGTTGTTGTAATGAGGAAGGTGTATTGTCAGTTCTCGGATCGTCTAAATGTCACAATATACATTCGCAAACAAAATATTGTACTTCTACAGTACACTCTTGCTTCTTGAACCAACTATTGCTATCGTTGTTTCACCTTAATATCTACGAAATTTTCCTACACATGTTTTTATGTTGTTCTGTTATATCACGAGAGAAGGTCGTAATTACATTGAGGATGTGTTTGTTTACAAATTTTTTCATCTCATATTCAATTCATACTCAAAATCTAACTGAACTTTAACTCAACTCCACCATCCTCAATATTATAATATAATTAAATAATATAATCAATAATTCTTATATGAAATTCATAATCAAAATCTAACTGAACTTTAACTCAGCTCCACCATCATCAATATTCTAGTATAATTAAATAATATCAATCAATAATTCTTAAAATTATAAGTTAGATAATAGTATCACATTTAAAATTTTTGTCACTAATAAAAATAAACATTAAAAAGTATTCAACTTCATCTTACATAAAATGAAATGTGATATAGGATATTATACCCACAAGGCTAAACCGGTCTATTGACCGGTCGAGTAGGTCGTATTATGAGGAAATTAAAGAAATCGAGCAGTTAACCAGTCGACCAACAAGGTTGTCGACCAAATGATCCTTCGACCAGGTGAACGATCGAGCAGTTCAGTCGGCCTCGATAGGTCGACCACTTCGAGGACTTAACACCACGTTGATCGGCCTAGGCACAGGCGCGTGAAAGAGCCTCTAACTGAACTCCAGGAGAATATTCACCCCATGTGCAGGGGGACACGTGTCGAGAAGGCAGTGGTTGATAGCGATAACCACCTCTGACAGCTTACCCCATGTGCCGGAGGACACGCGTCAAAAGAGGATTGGTGCAGGCGATAGTGGCGACGGCTACCTCTGACACACACATATGGTGTGTACGGACGGGCAGTTAGGGCAGACAGCTCATCAAATCCGGGCAGCCCTAGGTCAGGTATTTCACCCCTATATAAAGGGGGTGAGCCTTTCTTCTTCAACACGATCATTCTATTGCTTACTCTTGAGAACTGATTGAACATACACTGACTTAAGCTTCGGAGGCTCTTCACCGGAAAACCCCTCCGGTGTGAGAGTTCTTTGTAGGTGCACGACGTTCAAACGGCGAGAAGGAAGGCGATAGTACGAAGAGGATGCGAGCAGCACACGATAGGAAGGTGAAAGTACGAAGATTCCAAGTGGGTGACTTGGTGTGGAAAAGAGTTGATGTATTGAAGCATGTTGGAAAATTAGAGCCGAACTGGGAAGGACCATACCTGGTCGAAAAAGTCCATGCTAGAGGGGCATACTCTTTGAAGGATGCGGAAGGAAGATCTCTAGCCAGGTCATGGAATGTGGCTAACTTGAATAAATATTATGCTTAAAATTTTTCTTTTTTATTTATAAAGAAACTCGATGGAACCAACGTAATGAATTCCTTCACTTGATAATCAATGAAGTGGCGTACTGGAATTTCTGTCATTTATTGTTTATCGAATTATTTCATATAGCTGGAATTCCTGGATTAAACCTGATGACAGGTCATATGCAAAAAATTCATCATGAATAAGGCCATGAGGCTGGATGGTCGAATGTAACGACCACCCCTGTGAGGGTGGACATGTGTTCGAGATAAAAAGCCATCATGATTAAGGCCATGAGGCTGGATAGTCGCATGTAACGACCACCCCTTTGAGGGTGGGCATGTGTTCAAGATAAAAAGCCATCATGATTAAGGTCATGAGGCTGGATGGTCGCATGTAACGACCACTTCTTTGAGGGTGGGCATGTGTTCAAGATAAAAAGCCATCATGATTAAGGCCATGGGGCTGGATGGTCGCATGTAACGACCACCCCTTTGAGGGTGGACATGTGTTCAAAAGGAAAAATTCATCACGAATAAGGCCATTAGGCTGGATGGTCGCATATAACGACCACCCCTTTGAGGGTGGGCATGTGTTCAGAAATCTAAAACCCATCATGAATAAGGCCATGAGGCTGGATGGTCGCATGTAACGACCACTTCTTTGAGGGTGGGCATGTGTTCGAGATAAAAAGCCATCATGATTAAGGCCATGAGGCTGGATGGTCACATGTAACAACCACCCCTTTGAGGGTGAGCATGTGTTCAAGATAAAAAGCCATTATGATTAAGGCCATGAGGCTGGATAGTCGCATGTAACGACCACTCTTTTGAGGGTGGGCATGCGCTCGAAAGAAAAATCCATCATGATTAAGGCCATGAGGCTGGATGATCGCATGTAACGACCACCCCTTTGAGGGTCGGCATGTGTTCAAAAGGAAAAATCCATCATGAATAAGACCATTAGGCTGGATGGTCGCATGTAACGACCATCCCTTTGAGGGTGGGCATGTGTTCAGAAATCAAAAACCCATCATGTTTAAGGCCATGAGGCTGGATGGTCGCATGTAACGATCACTCTTTTGAGGGTGGGCATGTGTTCAAACGCCTAAAACCTATCATGTAGCCCCTGACTTCTTCTTCAAAGGAGTCTTCCTCAGGGGAATGTTGAAGCTGGCACCTCTGCGAGAAAATAACGAAAGATTAACAAAGGATAATTAAAACAAACACAGAAGGGTGTCGAATCATTCGAGCGACCTAGTCGAAGATTACCTGGTCATTCTCGATCCGGATAAGATCGAGGATCTCATCACTGGAGGAGGACAAGTCTTGTGGGTGAGAAGACCACAATAATGAAGGAGGTTCTCATCCTTGAGAAGTTTCTCGGACGCAACGGACTTGGAGTTCCAAGTGAAGACCCGTTGGTCGAACAAAGGGTTGGGAGGAGGGGCTGAAGCCGCCTCTCGCGAAACTTCCTTGATCCAGGGGACGGACAGCCAAGGAAAAGGAGCATCGGGCCGGACGAAAATAAACTTATCACTCCACTTGGGGAGATTGGAGGGGATATCATTGATGAAGTGGGCGCCATTACGGCTCTTCAAATAGAGGCCACGACATTGCTTAGAGGGGGCGTAGCAATAATGGAAGAAGTCTAGGTCGAATCGACCTAAACGGACGCGGCAGAGGATAATAAAGATGGTCATAAAACGAATAGCGTTTGAGGGGAGTTGGTGCAGAGAAAGCCCAAACCATTCACAAATCTGAAGAAGTTCAGGGCATAGGGGAAAGCGAAGGCCGAGTTTAAACTGGATTTCGAAAAATGTGTAACAGTCTCTCGGGGGATGATCGTATTTATCAGAGGAAGAAGAGCTAAAGAACGTCCAACCGAGAGGTTGTCCGATCTTTTCAGGATCATACCAAGGATGGGAAAGAGAAGTAGAAGATGGACGCCTTGAAGAAGCGTTAGAGAGTTTTTTGGTCGAAGCCTTATTGGAAGGAGAGTTAGAAGTACCAGGCTGAGAAGAAGAAGGAGGAATGTTTGAGGAAGGAGCAGACGTGGGTTGAGGGGAAACGATCTCGTCCTCCTCGGGCTCGTCTAAAGCACCGAGGGCAGGTCGACGGCGGCGGAGAGGAATGTTATCCATAGTGTCCCCGGAATTAGAAGAAGCAATATGGGCGGTAAAAACACGGGCAGGAACGGTATCGCCGGACCGAAGGATAGAAAGAGGAACAGCTTCGAGGGCTGAGGGCAAGATTTGAACCGAGTCAAAGGAAGTGGTCGAGGTGGCAGGATCTGAAAACAAAAAAGAAAGGAACAATATCAAAAAGAGGAATTTGGACAAAGAAGAAAGAAGAGAAGGTTTTCAAAATTAGGTTTCTACGAAAAGGGCGATTTTGGAGAAACTGAGGAAGGAGAACAAGGATTCCGGGAGAATTTCAAAGGGAGAGGACGAAATCTACAACGATTAACAGGCGAAAGCCGACACCCAACATACAAATTCAAAATACTCAATCAGCACACTTCAAACACCCAATTCAAGAAATTCAAAGCGCAAAATCCTAGACACAGGAAGCATAAAATCAGATGAGGAGCAACTTACTCATGATCGCAGATGAGAGATGTGGAAGAACTTGAAAATCGTAGGAGAAATCGCCGAAAAAGATTAGGGTTCTTGCAAAAGGGGTATTTGAGCACAGGAGAGTTCGAAATTGCAAAGGTGGAAAAACTGAGAAAATTCGCTAAGTACCAAATTTATACTTAGAGAGTTAAAGGGTTGGAAGAGCAAGACCGTTGGATTAAAACCAGATCTAACGGTGGGGAACATTAATTAACACAGCACTCAAAGTGGGCACGTTATGCGAGGAGGCGCTATCATTAAAGTAACTGACAGATGCGGCAGACGCGACGCGCGGCAGAAAAGTAGGCACAACAGAAAGGACATGGGACAAGTGACCCTATCTATGACAATTAATGAGGTATTATTTGAAAAAATGAGCGGTAAACCCATCAGATGGTCGATATCGGACACCATGTTATCCAGGAGGTCGATAGACACAAATTCACTCTTAGATCGAGTCATTCAGACTCGACCAGAGTGGGGGGGACTAGATGATATAGGATATTATACCCACAAGGCTAAACCGGTCTATTAACCGGTCGAGGAGGTCGTATTATGAGGAAATTAAAGAAATCGAGCAGTTAACCAGTCGACCAACAAGGCTGTCGACCAAATGATCCTTCGACCAGGTGACGATCGAGCAGTTCAGTCGGCCTCGATAGGTCGACCACTTCGAGGACTTAACACCACGCTGATCGGCCTAGGCACAGGCGCGTGAAAGAGCCTCTAACTGAACTCCAGGAGAATATTCACCCCATGTGCAGGGGGACACGTGTCGAGAAGGCAGTGGTTGATAGCGATAACCACCTCTGAAAGTCTACCCCATGTGCAGGAGGACACGCGTCAAAAGAGGATTGGTGCAGGCGATAGTGGCGACGGCTACCTCTGACACACGCGTATGGTGTGTGTGGACGGGCAGTTAGGGCAGACAGCTCATCAAATCCGGGCAGCCCTAGTTCAGGTATTTCACCCCTATATAAAAGGGGTGAGCCTTTCTTCTTCAACACGATCATTCTATTGCTTACTCTTGAGAATTGATTGAACATACACTGACTTAAGCTTCGGAGGCTCTTCACCGGAAAACCCCTCCGGTGTGAGAGTTCTTTGTAGGTGCACGACGTTCAACCGGCGAGAAGGAAGGCGATTATTCAAGTTCCAGCAGGTCGGGAAGTTTTGTGTTACCAAAATGGATAAGATAGTTTTTATAAATTTGAAAGATCATGACCCGTTAATTGTCTTAAAAAGTATTATTATTATTATTATTAAAAGCTTAATAGGTTTAGCTTACCACTAAAGACAATTAACTTATTAATAAAAATATTTAAGAGCAATAAAAAGATTAAAAAAAAATAAATATATTTTTTATACTTATTCAACTTTCATATATCATTTAGTGTGATTTATAATTGGTTAGTTTTAGTAATAACTATTATATAATAGAATAATTAAAAAGCAAGATTACACTTTAATTACCATTATATTAAAAAAAGTAACTGATCAAGTTTCAGTTGCTGGTTTTAAAAAAATATTGGATTGTAATGAAAAAATATGAAAAATCTAAATAATTTTATTAAATTTTTTTGTTAGCAATTATACATATATATTAATTATTGGATTGTTTGAGGTTTTAATTAAAATAAAAAAATAATAATAAAGTAAATATGCCTTTGTAACATCTTTGGAGTAAAATAAATGACGTTAAATTAATTGTTTTGCCAGCAAATTATATATATATAGATAACGAGCATAGTTTGAGCCGATCTCTAGCTTTAACGAGTTGACCTATAGATAATTATATAAAAATTCTCTTGTTGAGCCTTATCGAGTGGAGCTGTTCACCGAAGGAGCTTTAAATGAGCTCGAGCACGGTTCGTTTATCAAACGAGTCGAGTCGAGCCAGATTCGTTTAATTTAACAACACTATCTCTCCTACTTTTCCGTCAAATCAAATTTAATAATTTTATTTTAAATATTATTTTAATATAAACTCAAAATTCAATAATAATAATAATAATAATAATAATAATAATAATAATAATAATAATGACAAAAATATCTCGTTTTTGAGCATATATATTTATATCCAAGCATGCCCTGAAACAACTTCACTTATAATAATCCCTTGATAATATTATGTGATAAGCGTGTACCTGTTTATTAAGACATGGGAGACTGCGGAAGTTCCCATTAACGGCTTTGAGAAACTCGGCCACATGGTTTGGGTATTGGCAGGAGAAAGCTCGGGGAACAATGTCCCTGTGCATCGTAATCGATTGGACGTGATTGCGAGGCAACCCCAGCTTCTGCAGCAGGCGATCCCCACCGCACATAATCGAGGGTGCACCGAAAGTTATCACGGGGAGCAAAGACGAACGTGGAGCTTCGCCTCTTATGAGAAGCATGAGATTTACGAGCAACGATAAACACCCGCCAAGGGAGTGCCCCGTAAAACGCAATGCGGCTCGAGGGCCGTGGGACTTAAGGTGTGCGTGGATTTCAGGCAGCATCTGCTTGTATATCCCTTTTGCCGCCTCGTATATACCTCTGTGCACTAGAATATCCAGCCCCTAAAAGAATGGGAGACAAGTTAAGTTTTTTATTTTTTTATTTTT